CCACCTGTTCCCTCTCAGATAGGCCCAAGGAACCAACGGCAAGGAAGGGATGTCTGGAGATTTCCTTTATGGAAATGAACATTTTCATTTGCATCTGAATCTTTACTAGCAGAGTTGATTATTGAAAACATTCATTACCAATATACTAAAATGCTACTTATTTTATCATCTCTCAGTCTGTGGGAATAAATTGTAGTCAAATAGGGCCTGACAAACTGGTACCTGTCTAACCTTGAGTTCAGGGTGGTTTTTAAAGACATTAAAAAACATTGGTGCATTAGATGGAGCCAAGGGTCATTGTTCTAGAATATTTTATATTCTCTCTTTGGGTAATTGATGACTAGCATTTTTATGACACCATTTAATACATAATATAATAACAAAAGGCTCTAAATGTGATAACATACACTTTTAATTGCTGCTTTAAAATTTTACCATTTTCATATTAAAATATATTCATTATGACACTTTTAGGACATAGAAACAAAAAGATAATAAAATGATCATTCAGGGTTAACATCAATTTTGACAGACAGATTGATAGATAGATACATTTTCCTAGTAAAACTATATAATATAGAACACCTTCATTGCCTTTTGATCCATAGGAGCTCATTTTATTTTAGTCATGTTATTTATTTCCTGTTATATCTGTTGCAGGGTATTTTTAAATTTTGGTTTTGGTATCATTAAGATTTATACAACATGTTTATATATGCAAGATGTTTTGACTTTTTTATTTTCTGACATAGCATTTGTGCTTAAGAAGGCTCGTCACTAGACTCATATATGTATCTTTATTTTCATGTACTACTTCAAGATTTTACTTTTAGATACCTCCCTAATTTTCTAGTACATCAGACTTTTCTTATATAAACCAAACTATGCATCCTGAGACTCATATGGATAGGTTCAAAACTATTCCAAATAGTAAAATACAGAGAATGAGAGAGTGGATTTCATTCTAACATACCGAATAGGGATTCTAATTGCCAAAAATATAGTTAACTAGTTTAATGTGAACGTGTAAGCTAAGAAATTACTTAGTGATTCAAATTAGTTCTTATTAGAGTAAGGCAATGTGGGTTAAGATGCCTACAATTATATAATGTTATATAACATTATTTGCTGGATTGAAAAAAAAAATCATAGGACTACAAGATGCCCAGAAGCTAGGAGCTCTAGTCCTGATCCCAGTGATAATTACTTTGGACAATTCATGTGCCTCTCAGCTTCAGATGGCTCATCTGTCTAGGAAAATCACTCAACTCCCAGGGTGCCATCTAAGATACACAATCCCACAGTTTTAAAGATCCGCTACATGCAAGCATCAGTTCCTTTACCTTAGGATGGAAGGTTCTGTACTACTAGAGCATCAGATAAGGGAATCAATAACTAGGCACACACCAAATTCTTAGCCAAGAGTTCTCTCCTCCAAAAAATTGGACATGACTTACAGAGCCTGTGAGTTTCCTTTAACAGCAAATGTGTTCTTTATATGCTGGAATGTTTTCACTTATTTGAAATGATTATTCATTGTTCATTGTTTGTCTTAAAGCAGTGGTAAGGACACTGCTTTGTTAAAAGCACCCATGAAAAAGGAAATATTGTCTTTCAGTAACATGGAGCTTGAAAAAGTAAGCAGTCTAACCAGGGTGATATTTAAATTACATAACACAATAGGATATAAGCATCAATTTGATCAGAATGGACTTGGACAATTCTTGTGTGTACACTGGAAACTAGTGAATTTAGAGTGTGTACCAAAAGCCCAGCTAGGAACTTGAGTTACAGAAGAAAACAAGGGAACAATGTCTCTGCCTCCTCAATGGGGAAAGAAATAATCAAAGAAACAAAAGATCCTTTCAGAGAATAACTTTATAAAATTAAGCAGTTAAGTAGATAAAGTGATCAACTATGTGGCTATTTTAAGTGGAATGCTCAAGGGAAATTCTCTAGATATTTGAAGAAAAATTAGGAGGAGCCAATCCTTGGAACATTTGAGGAAGGGGATAGCATGGGGTTAACCCTAAGGTGAGCAAAAGCGGAGCACAATATTTGAGGGAAGGTGGCCAGTCCAGCCATATGGAATTGGTGGAAATGCAGAATGTCAAATCAAAGCCTGATACCAGAAGATGAAGCTACAGAAGCAGGTAGTAGTCAGCCCTTACAAGGAGAGACACAGAACAATGGAAAAGTACTGGAGACTTTTAAGGAGAAGACAGAAATGATTTCATTTAAGGTTACAAAAGATGATTCTAGCTGCCATGAGGAATGTGGACTTTAGGGTAAAAGCTAATAGGGAACTGGAGAAAATGCTGCTATTTTTGGACTTGGAAAGCTACAGTAGAAAGAGTGAGAGGTGATCACACTGAAGATATATTTAGAATTAAATTGTTACATTTCCTTCCTATGTTGAGTTTCTTTTAGAGCTAAAACCTTGGTGTCATAAGGAATCTTATTTCTATAAGATCCTTTTAAATATGTCATTTATAAAGAATGGCAAGATGTGAAGTAACATAAAAGAAAGACAGCTTCTTTTAAAAGTCTAATATTCATGCTACTAAGAGAAGATAAAGTTATATTTTTACTTGGGATTTAATGACACCCTTCATCATTTGTTTCTATTAAAGTTTCTGGCTAGTATTGTGGTAGTCAATCAGTGAAGAAGCTAGAATTGCTATGTGTGACATTTGTCTGGGTACTTACACATGAGTTTTTAATACTCAAAATACATATTTTTGCCTCATGTTGTGGTTTATAGTGAGTATTGCAATAACAATGTCTTTTAAAGGATGTTCTCACAGCGTTTTCATTAAGACTTGTCTCCATGCCTTGTCTATGGTTGGGTTGACTCCCACCTTGAACATGGTTCCATCTTTACTTCCCTAGGCAAAACATTCTCCAAGCCAGCTACAGTGATATGAGGACCACAGTTCCAATCTTGCTCATGAGGTCCATTCTCACATAGGAGAATGTTTAACAGGATTCACAGTCATCTCTGGGAACTTGTTTCTTCTCACATTTTCTAAACAACTTTCTTTTCCTCCACTTTTCCCATGATTAAACATGTGCTTACAAGACTTCACTCAAAAACAAAATTTTTAAAGCATCTTTACAATAAAATAAAATAAAACGATTTTTTAAAAATCACAAAAATTTCCCAACCCCACCCCTTCCCCAGGTACAGTTGTGTGCCAACTTCTGTTATACTGATAAGGCTGGTATCTGGGCATCTGCATGGGTTTATTGAGTCTGCTTTTTAATAATTGGTTTACATTTTGAAATCCTTGAAGAAGTAGCTTCTTATTTCCTTGTGATTCAACCTCAGCTTAGAAAGTAGACTCTGAAATTGAAAGAAATTAACAAATAGTATATGAACAAGTGAAATGAAAATTGTATGACCTAGGAGTTTCTTGTGCCATTATGGTACCTGGTACAGTGATTTGTGTGTATACTGTGTGAAACACAATGACTCATATGTTTAATGTTTGATCCTCCATGTGGCAGCATTAATAGAACCTTCAAATGACGGGGCCTAGTGTAGGGTCATTAGGACACTAGGGTAATGTAGTTCTTCTAGGATCCCAACCCTGTGGCTTCTGGTGTCATGATAATGAGATCTCTCCCTCTCACAGTGATGGGAAATGCACTAATACACCTGCCATGTATCTTCCCACTGATACTTAGACAAGGAAAAGCACTGGCTCTTTGCCTCCACCCCAGTCTCACCTGTTTATCCTCCTTTTGAAGATACACAAATGCCAGCCTGTATTGTTCACTCACACCCTCCAGTGTGGGAATCATAGCCCTTTTCATACACTTTCTTGCAGAGTACAAAGACGGTATTTCCCTGAGGTTGAGTGAGAATAATGGTGGATAGCTGGTTTTAAATACAGGTTCATTCCATGAACCCCACTCTGTTCTCTCTTGGCAAACAGCTCAAATTTTCTTCAAAACAGGCATTTATATATAAACCAGTCTCATCATGAGCAATTAACGAATGCTCTTCTAAGCTCCTCAAAATTGTAATGAAATTTAGAGCTGATATGTAGTTCATATTTCATGAGTATACTTGGGTAAATAAGCTGTCAGATTTGAGTGCTCATTATTTCTCTGTATCATCACAAAATATCTACAACTCACTGGTCAGGCTGTGAGAAACTGACCAAGGTAATTTATTTTAGCAAGGACAAGAAGCCATCTGTGACCTGTTTTTTAAAAAAAGGTAGAATCAGCTCTCCTCTTCATTAAGTTTTTTAACTGGAGTGATTATCATGAAAGTCACATACATAATGGAGACAGGTTTGCCTTTAGGAAGAAATTTCTTTCTGTGAGGTCTACGGCTATCTCAAATCCTTTCAGCTCTCAGCTAGTCTGAGATGACTTTGCCAGCTCTATTCTTCACTGGATGCGTCAAATGGCTAGACTTTTTCACCACCACAGGCACTTTCTTCCTCCTGCCAGTCTTCCTGACATTGTTTGATAGAATCAGGAACAGCCTTCGGAAGTTAGTTTTATCTTTGAAAAGATTACCCATATTGTGGAGTAACAGAAGGCAGCATTGAACATGATATAAAATCTACTTGAAACCAAAAGAACATCAATAATGATAATTGTTATTATTACTCTGTACAAAGTTCTGTATTAAGTGCCAGTTATAATTACATAATTAGTGCATTCAGTTCTTGAAACAGCCCTGTAATTTAAACATCCCAGCATGTGACAGATGAGGAAGGCAATGACTTTGAACAGATAAGGAGGTCGCCCGAGGTCACACATCAGTAGATGGCCAAGTTAAATTTTAAACAGCTCTCTTAGCCTGCAGTGGTCCAGGTCTGGAATGAAGTGAGCATGATTGTTAGAGAGAGATGCTGAAGAAAACTGGTAACCTGTTCAGAAAGAATGTTAGCCCAATTTCTGCTATCACTTATTTGGAAGAATCTGCATGATGAGTTGAACAGATGATTGACTAACTTCCATGTTTCTTTTCCTTCTAGAAAGATTTCCAACCGGTAGCAGCCTCAGAGAACAACTGGGAATCAGTCACAAGCCCTATCTCAGTAAGTAATTTATGATACCATTACCAGTGAATCAAACTGACAGAATAGCCAAGATCAGCCTCTGAAGGACCAGATCTCAAACATGATGAATCTGTCCATTTCTTTCAGGTTATGGGGGATTATATGACACAGCCTGTGTTTCCGAATAATTTTAAGGAATTACCAGTATCCCATGGTAGGAACTTGGGCTAGACAGAGGTTTATGTATTTGTCAGTTACACAGCAGAGCATTCCCACAAAAGGACTTTGCAACATAGGGAACTGATTCATTGGTTCTCGTTCAAGTGAGCAAATTGAAAATCACTTCCTGAATATCCCACAAAAAGCTGTTAACTTGTGCATTTTCAAAGGACTGCCACAACTTGAGAAACCTCAGAGTTTAGAGGAAGATAGCGTGAGTGACAGAGACAGATCACAGAGCTGGCCTATCAAGAACAAAAAGAACAAATATGGCTGCAGCTTTGTCATTATCACCAAGGACTGTAGAGGATGACGCATTTATCATGGCTTGTACTATAATTAAATTCCTAAACTCTTCAGAAATACCTGACATAGAACACATGGCCAGATAAATAATTATCTGGTTACAACTGTGCAGAATATAACATAGATTCATGTTGGTAATGTAGATAGCATCAAAGAAAAGTTAAGTCAGGATGAGGTGTTTACTTATTCTGACAAGGTTGGCTGAAAATTAGATGTATGATTTCTAGGGGAAGGGAGGAGAGGGAAGGGAAAGGCACCTGGATAGACGCATTAATCGTTCTACCATGCCTCCATCCTGTTCCCCAACTTCCATCTTTCCTTACTTCCCTCCTCTACAGAGCCTATATGAAAACTATCCCTTATGTTATACCAGTGGTAGATTAAATTAATGCTTTTGGGCTTTGGGGCTGAAGAGGGAACATCCCTGTAAGAACAAGTGATCATGGGATCGCTTACTTATCTCTGAACTTTAGTTGGTTAAATGGAGAAACACAGTCCAGGAGTGATATTCTCACTCGTGAGCTTTGCAATCGGAGGCTCTATAAATGTATATTATTTCTCAATAGGATTCTGCAGTTAGGTTTTGGAAAAGTAAGTTTTCATTAATTTCCATTCTTTTCTTAGTGATAGGAGATATTTGCCCTTGGTGGGGATCTTATTTGTTTGGCAGTTTCTTTAATGACATTTAGAAATCATTTGAGGCTATGTGCTCTCTATTTCCTTCTTAATGGGTCATGAATTTTTACAGAGATGTTTGAATCATGGCTCATTTACTTCTAGATTGTGCAAGGGTTAGTGAGGTAAGTGCTTGGAAACCTTACTGGGGTTTATTTCCATGGCAAAATATATAATCCTTTCCACTATTTCAATGGTGCCATGCTCCCCACTGAAAGAATATTCTAAGACTGTTTTAATGGCAACTGGGATCACTAGCAACAGGCAGGCTTTTTTCTTTTAATATGCTTCCCATGTGAATCATGCACTCTTAAGTCAAGAGAGCCAGCTTCATGGCTAATTATCCTTGTTGACAGTAAATAAGTTGGTTAAAGTGCCAAATTTTATCAAAATGTCTCCAGAGTAGAGTTAAACACTGTTCAAACAACATCTGCAATGCGAGGTGACCTATAAATGGGAACACAGAGGCTATGTGAGAGAATGGATTGAATTCTCAAAACATGCTTGGAAGAAGTTCAGAATTTTAATTCTCACCATTATTAGTTGATATATGAATGATCTGGGACCTTACGACAGGAAATGAGAGGAGTTCATTTTCATATTTCCACTCAGCCTATATCTTTTTTAATGATTTCAGTTCAGATGGACTGAAAGTTTGATGGTCTGCATGGCTTTGACTTCCAAAATAGGTTGTCTAATCTTTTATCGATTAATTATTCCTATTTAGGAATATGGCCAGACAATGTCAGATTGCTTTTGCATGGTATTTACCCAGGTGATGTTTTGTAATTAGAAGTCTGCGTATAGTTGTTTGACTTGCTTTTTCTGAGTACACTGAGCTGTATGTCACTCTTAGGGGGTATCCTATAACTCCCCATCAGTAACGGACCCCAATCTCACTGCGGATGCTCTGGACAAAACAGTCGCACAGTTTGATACTGTGGAAGATGTGCTCAAGTACTTCAACCCAGAGTCGTGGCAAGAAGATCTTGAGAACTTATATGTGGACCTTCCTCAATATCGAGGCAGGCTCTACTACGGCCGGAAGTCAAAAGGTAAGAAAACAGAGGCTCGGTGGTTCTGTGTAAGTAGTGTCAACAGTAATAATAAAGATTGGCAGTATGATATGTTTGATGCACTCAAATCAGATCATTACTGTCAATCTGTTACCACAATATGTTCCACAGCACTTTCAAATTCATCTCTGTATGGAACCCAGGCTTTGTCATTTGCATATGACAAAAGAAGATTTGGTCCAATCTGTCACAGTATGTGTGGAGAGGTCAGGAAAGCACCTGGACCGGCTCCTTACCTTCTTGGCAAACAAAGCATTATTAGCCCCGATAACAGAGGGAACCAAAGTCAGAGGATAACTAACTTGTTCAAAGCTGCCTGGCTAGTTAACAGTGGGAGAAATGAGCATCTAGGTTCTTGGCCTACAGCCCTTGTGCTTGTGCAGTGTTGGCTGTGCCTCTCGGATAGACAGTCGGCTGAGTCCATGACTGTCAGTATTGACCTTGGTTAGAAGTTACAAGACTCTGGCAAGGGTTCAGATTTTCCCATTTGTTGTTCATTTTACATTATCTTTTAATCCAAATCTTTTATGCACTTGGTTTCTTTCTGCGTGGTTCCTGGGCTTGGGAGGCACATGTCCCAGTGGAGAGGAAAGTTAGGCATGGCACAGTTTGGAGCGTACAAGAGTGTGTGTTTAACTGAAAGTTTGGGAGAAAATACAATGAGAGGAAAATGCCGGACAGAAAACATCGTGATGGGAACAGTAAGACTGAAACTCATAAGGACTCAAATGGTTTTTTTTTTCTTGCTATTGTTTGTAACATATTTATAAGATGATTTCTTTATTGCTTTGTGTGTCCCTCCCCCACGGTATAACCCCTGTTTTCACTGTATTTGATGTTGGTATAATTTGTGGAGGGGAAGGGAAAAAACAAATTGTTTAAATAGGGATACAGGTGGACCCATTGCAATAATGAGATGTACAAGACACTATGTTGAAACACGAACTTTACAACTTTGGCGCCAAGTGGGGGGGTGGGGAGAAGAAGGGGCATGGGAGGGAGGGGAAGATGGGAAGGGATAGGAAGGGGAAACAAAGGCGGAGGCTACCATGCTTGATAAGAACTATACTCATTGCCTTGGTCAAGTAATTGTAACCCCTCTGTACGGTATTGTCACAATAAAAACAAATAAATAGCCAGGGAATGCATCAGGATGATACATTTTTAGGCTGAGAGTATCTATTTGAATGCAGACCTCAAATCACTGGCTAAGCTTCGTTACTAACCTTTTCTCCAGCAAGCCTCCAAGGCTGGCTCTCCTCCACAGGTGGGAAGGCAGTTAGCTAAGTTATGTCTGTTTCCCACATTTCATAATATCAAGAGTGCTTTACAAATAACTGAATGTAGGCTGCTTTAGCACAACCAGTGGAAATGTTTGAGCTCAAATGACTAATTAATAGACTTCTCCCTGGGCCGTCCGCTTGTGGCTTAGGTCATAAATTTTGTACACTTAGAATGTACAGCTAAGGGAGGACAAAGGGGTCACAGAGGCCCTGATGTTACTGAGACCAGCCATCTCTAGGTCACCAGCGATCAAAATTAACCTCCTCAGGGCTCAAGTTGGATTTGGTTCAAAGAAGAAATTGCTTTCCTGTAAGGCATTGCTGAATTTAGGTCTCTACCAGGTCAACTTGAAAGGAAGTCAAATATTCACATTTCGTCAACTCCAGGAAAATACTAAAATTGATACTAGACAAACAAGCAACAAATTCTAAACCCTCAAGTTAGCATTAGTCATGACAGTGGCTTTCCTTGGCATCTCTTTTCTGGAAATATTAAAAATTACTGAAGTCAATTTTCCCCATGTTGTGTTAGAAACAGGAAGCCTGTATTCAAAACTTCACCTTTCAAGTTTTGTGTTTTGAAAGTCAGTTGATCCTAAGTCTTTGTCTCCTCATTGTATGTGTGTGTGTGTGTGTGTGTGTGTGTGTGTGTGTGTAGCAGTACTCACTCTGGGGGTTATTCATGGAACTCCCAAGAGCACCTGCCATATGACCTGTGTAAGAATCGTTAGCAATCTGTGACCGTCTGCAGTTCTGAAATAGCCCAGCACGGATGCTGTGCTGGAGCCTCCTCATGCCTTGTCCTGTCTCTGTGGTACACCCATACCTCAGGCAGAGTTAGCAGCACCCTAGGCCCAGATGTACTGTTATTCTACCCCTGTGCTTTCTCTTAGGGAATATGTGCTCCAGGATGTTCTAAGTTGGGTCTTAATTCCAACTAAATATTTAATGACATGAGAACATTGGAAATCTACAGACACCTAGATACTTTGATTCGGGATCTTTGGGAAGTAGGGCTGAGACATTAATGGTATTTACATTTTTACTTTTTGAAGTAGCCTCTGGCTTAGATTGTTCATTCTGTATCTCTAGCATTAGACACCGTTTCAAATATATTTTGAATGTTCAGCTAATATTTATAGCATGAAAGGTATTATTCCTGCAACTGTAAAGTTTCAGTCAGTCTGTCTGCCTGTCTTACAGTGCTCAGGATCAAACCCAGGGTCTTGCATATGCCACTGAGCTAACCACCTCCTAAGCTTGGTATATCTCTAAAGTTTACAGAAGCCCACTGCGTGACCAAGGAAAATGGCTATATTAAGAATGTCTTTGGCAGGGCACTGAAGGTTCATACCTATAATCCTAGCTACTCAGGAGGCTGAGATCTCAGGATCTCAGTTTGAAGCCAGCCCAGGCAGGAAAGTCCATGAGACTCTTATCTCCAAATAATCACCAGAAAACCAGAAGTGGAGCTGTGGCTCAACGTGGTAGGATGCTAGACTTGAGCTGGAAAGCTCGAGAAAAGCGTTCCTGAATTCAAGCTTCACAACCAACAAAAGAGAGAGGGAAAAGAATAGCATTGGTTTCTGAAATAACCTTTGAAGAACATTCCAGGTGACATTCTACTTGATGTTTGTAACAAAGTAAACATCATCTCTCCCCTCTGTTGGCTTAGGTTCTATTTCTTAATCTCAGAAACAGATTCGTACCATTTCTACTAACTGCCAAGTCCCCATAGTCCTGTACTTGGATAAATGCACTGGTTTAATTGTTTGTCTCTCTACTGCGGGTAAGCTACCCGGATGTTTCACAAAGGCAAGATAAATCAGGTTTGATATTTCAGCCGCTGTTTTCTCTTTTGGAACTTGAAAACATGGACATATGGCTTGTAGCCTGATGTTTGAAGAAGGTAACAGTGACTAAAGACTGAAAACAGAAAATCAGGGCTAAGGGAAACTGTTAGGCATCAAATAAGCATAAACTTTAAAAGATCTCTAAATAAATTATCTCTAACACATCATCTGCATGCTGATAGGTGAATGAGTCTGTATAGAAAAATTATTTTCATTTGTTAATCTATTGAACATACTTTCCTCTGGTTTGTCCAGACAGATCAAAAGGGGGTATTTTTCCAAGGATCAAGAATCAAAAGAATATAGTTAAATATGAATAGATAAGGTACATGATTTTATGAACCCTAAAGCACAGATAAACTGGCTGAAGAGCTTACATCGCAAGGCAGAAATCGTTGAAATGCTTCTGCTTTTTCCTTGGTGCAAGGGAGAATAGTTTTTAGTTCTCCTCAAGAGGAGAGTTAAAAATGAGAAGCAAGGGGACAGTAGAAGTTTAGGAGATGAGAGAAAGACAGATTATTCAAGGACCAGAGATGGTCTTTTTTTTTAATTCAGAAGTAGCAGAGAAGCTCAAACTTGTCTGTAAAAGCTTCTGAGTTAAAGATAATACGACAAATAAGTATATCCAGCTATCAGTTTCCTGGAGAGTAGGGGAGAAGGGGCGTGTGTACAATCGAAGTCTGTAGATAACAGCAGTTCCTAAACTCAATTTCTATATTCATTTCAGCTTCATGCTTTCAACATCAAAGATTCATAATAAAAGGAAAAAATCCTTTAAGTTCAATTTTTATTTATTTTTCTAAGGAGTATAATATTGAATACGACAAATTTGTACAAAATTATGTAAAATTATATGGATGTTCTTGCTAGAAGTTGCATAATTACCACCTAACTCATGGTATGACCACTGTAATTTAACTAAGTTTAAACTATAACTCTTTGAAAGTATATAGTATGAACTTGAGGGAGAACATATAGTTCATCCAGTTCATAACACGTAACGCAACATTTATAATGAAGTAATCACCCCTGAGTCAACCATACTGAACATTAGCTGAGAGATTTATGGAGAGTAACAATGTAATGGAAATTTAATACTTTGCTTATTCCAAGAGAACTTGAATATAGATGATAACACATTTGCCATAGAAAAATCCAACACTAATGGGGAGAAAGGCTGATTTCACAGTTTAAGTTTTGTGATTAAATATAAGCAAAATCACTGGATGCCTGTGGCTCATGCCTGTCATCTTTGCTACTCAGGAGGCTGAGATCTGAGGATCACAGTTTGAAGCCGGTGGGGGCAGAAAAAGTGAGACTCTTATCTCCAGTAAACTACCCAGAAAAAGCCAGAAGATGTTCTGTGGCTCAAATGGTAGAGTACTAACTTTGAGCACAAAGAGATTCTGGGACACTGCCCAGGCCCTGAGTTCAAGCCCTAGGACTGGCAGGAAAAATAAAAGAGCAAAATTACTGAGTCACACTAATCACTTTAAACTGTTAATAAAAATATGTATGTGATCCTGGCTTGTCAGGAGGCTGAGACTGAGCGGCTTGCAGTTTTGAGATGAGCCTAGGCTGAAAGTTTGTGAGGTCTTATTTCAATCAATAAAAAGCTGGAGTGTGTGAGTGCATGCCTGTCATTCCAGACACGTGGAAAGGGTAAACAGGAGGACTGCAGTCCAGTCCAGGCCATCCAGGGCATAAATGTGAGGCTGTACTTTAAAATAATAACTAAAAAGGGCTGGGAAGGTGGCTCCATGGTAGAGCGCTTGCCTTGCATGCATGAGGCCCTGGGTTCGATTCCCCAGAACCACATAAGCAGAAAAAGCTGGAAGTGGTGCTGTGACTCAAGTGGTAGAGCATTAGCCTTGAGCTGAAGAGCTGAGGGACAGCACCCAAGCCCAGAGTCAGGCCCACAACTGACAAAATAATAATAATAATAACAACCACAACAACTAAGGCCAAAAAGATTGACAATGGCTCAAGTGGTAGGGAACCTGTCTAGCAAGTGTGAGGCCTTGAGTTCAGACCCCAGTTCTACAAAACAAACAAGACCCCACAAAATTTTCAAAGAATTGTTCATTGAAGCTATATAATGCCCGAAATAACACGTACTTCTCTTTTTAAAAAAAATTCAACATTCTACAACTGGATGTAATAAATATTTTGACACTAATTACCAACAATAAGGTTTGAAATTAATTAATAATAATGTGTAGCCTCTAAATGGTTATATGGTGTAACTCTAAGGCAGTCAATCATCCAATTTTGAGGCTCTCCTGCCAATCT